CAACAGAGGGAGCGAACAGATGCTCTAAGCCCATTTTACAGGTCTTCTAGTTTAGCTACTGCCTCTTTTAGCAACCCTTTGCAATTATGATGGTAATGAAAAAGTAACTTTGCAACCAGTCCACACATATTTAACAGCCTTTGCAGATGTGCAAAGCAAAGGAAAGCTGAAGTAACATCAAAAACACAGTTGCCGTTTCACTCAGTGACCAGTTCACTTAACAACCAAGTTGCCGGTATCAATTGTGGCTGCTAAACAAGGACTACCTATAATGTCTTATCTTCAAAAGCATCACACGGGTCATCAGTTGAGTTCATTGCAAGCATCTGAGAAATAGCCTTTCAGTATTTTACTGGCAAAGGCACAGGTAGTCCTCGACTTACAACAATTGAGACCAGAATTTCCATTGCTAAGCAATGTGATTGTAAAGCAAGATTCCATCACTACAGTCCCATTTCCTGTTGTTAATTGAATCCCATAGTGGTTAGGTGACAGCAACTTCCTGCTGGCTTCCATGACCAAACTCAGTGGGGAAGCAATCAGGGAGTTGCAAGTCCTAAGCTGGCAGCCAGGTTAACCTGTTGGCTTCCCCATTGTCTTTCTGGGAAAGTCAACAGGGAAGGTTGAAAGCCACAATCATATAACTGCACTTGGCAACCAATCGTAAACTCATTAGTGTTGCCAGGCACCCAGATTGGGATCACATGACCATGAAGGCGCAGAAACAGCTGGAACTCCAAGGATCAGTTGTAACCATGCCTTTGTAACTTGGGATCCTCTCTAACCAAGTGATTGTAGGTTGAGGACAATTGATTATGACAACTAGTTTGGTGTAGTGTTCAAGTGCTAACCTAAAAAGCAGGAGATTGTGAATGCTAGTCCTCCCTTAGGGAGAGCTGGCTGGGTGACTCTGAGCAAGTCACTCCCTTTCACCACTGCGGGGTGTTGTTGCAGGAAAAATAGAAGGCAAAAATACCAAAAATGTTAGCTGTCTTGAGTTGACAATGAAGACACACACACACACACACACACACACACACGCAAGATAAAAATATAATAACAGTAATGTTCAAATATAATTAAATGCATTAATTTCAATCTTTCTAGTCTATGTTGGAAAGAGTGTAATAAAGCTGCAAACTGCTAATATTTAATCTCTTCAGTGACTCAGAATTACTGCCTAAATTGCAGCCATACCAGCCTGCAGGGCTTTAAAGGAAAAAAATATTTGTCTTCCATTTCTCACACAGAAGCACTGCTACTATCTCCTCTAAGGAAATAGCAGAGCTAGGGAAAAAAATCTCTGTGTGCTAGGCTACTGTATCAGCAAACTTTTGAATATTTTTGTATAGGCAAAATATTCTTGCCTGCCCCTTTCAGTGTCACTGCCAGGGTTTCTGTCATTGTTTCTCAATCTTCCAGCAACCCCTGCCCCCCAAAAAATCATTTGCAGGGGAAAAGCCTGTTACCCATCTGTTCAAAATTGGGGTGATTTTGTCATTTCTTTTCCTGTGTGTAAACAGTAACAGCTGAAGTGCTAATCAAAATGGGGACAGCAAATTTAGTAAGAGACATATCACAGGGAATATGTACCGAGACAACAGAATATACATAATGACAATGAAATAATATTGGTGCATGCACACACATGCACACTCTCCTAAGCAAAAGAACTGGAAACCTAGGGTAGAATTTGATGCAAGATCAAAGTAACCCAAAGAAGAGAAAAACGTGGAAGAAAGGAAAAAATAGGAAGAAGAAACATGGAAAGGTAAGAAAAGCAGGAAGAGAAACAATTCACAAAACCCTCTCACTACTTCTAAAATGCTTTACTGTATACTTTATTGTTCAGATGAAAGAACTGGGAAAAAGCATGTACTGTGTTTCCCCCAAAATAAAACCCGGTCTCTTTTTTTTTTTTTTTGCTTCCAAAAGAGGCACCAGGTCTTATTTTCGGGGGGTGGGTGTGTCTTTTTCACTTACCTCGCAGCAGAGCCACCGACAGCCCTAGCCAGGCAGCTCACTTCTTCTGTAGCTGAAGGAGGCCTTCTGGAAAGGCCTCTGACTGTGAAATGCAGTCCTTCGTTCCACTCTCAGCTATAGAATGAAGCTGCTCCTTTGGCCACAGAAGAAGTGGGCCTGTGAGGCAAGTGTCAATCCATGGGAGGCCTGGCTGCAATGGTAAGCTCCACCCTCCCACCCCCATCCTAGTTTGATTTTTAGGTGTGCACCTCGCCCCAAAACTAGGGGTTATTTTGGGGGGTAGGGCTTATATTAGGGCCACCCCAAAAAGCAAGTTAGGGCTTATTTTTGGGGTAGGTCTTACTTTCGGGAAAACATCGTATAAGCAAAGTATTGTGTAATGTATATTGTTTTCCTCCCGGAGCACTATGATACAATAGTCTCAATCAATTTTTTGACGGCATCTAGAAATTGGATTTTTCGATCACTCGAATCTTTCCTGTACTTACGTAATTTTTAGGTATAGTCCAAAACCAGTATGAAAGTAACCTCCTGAATTAAATTTCATCTGTGTTAAGAAAAATCCAGACAGACATTTCTAACAGTTTTCTGATAAAATATTATAGACTGAAGACATTCACAGAATTAAGCATCACACTAATCTACGAGTTGCCATGCTTTGCATATGCCTCAAAGGCTTTCAGGCTGGGCAACTGCAAACTTTTCTATATCAAATTTAAAATGATAGGTATTCATTTTGTTATGCTTTGTATCAAGACCTTCCAGTTCTCATTGCCATTTCCCACTGTGCTCTTCATGTGGAAAATGAAAAGAAAAGCTAATTTTATGCTCACTGTATGACTTGGAGCAAGTCACATTCTCTTACCCCAGCTATCCCATAAGGCTGTTATTACAGGGGAAAATAGGAAAGAGCAGCCAGTCTTCCCTTATCTAGCATTTGCCCATAAGTCCATACTTCTCACTGATTTAATCAGTTTTAGATATTTTATTTTATTTGTACTTTTAGTTTGTTTTGTAATTGTATGTATGTACGGTCTCACTTATTTTGGCTATGTCCTGCAGTGGAATTCACTGGAGAATGCTGGGAAGAGTTAGGGGATGGTTGGACACCATCAAAACTGGCACCAGCCACAACATAGAACAACTCAAAGATGTAGTGCAAGATCATAAGATGTGGAGAGACCTGGCCCACAGAATCCCCAAGAGTCAGACATGACTGAATGGATAATGTTATTATCATATATGTGAGAGCCATTTAGTGTAGTGGTTAAGACACCAGGTTAGAGTGTGAGTTCCAATCCCACCTTAGGCTCAAGTCCAGCTGGTGACTCTGGGCCAGTTCCTCTGTCTCAACCCTAGGGAGGAGACAAGGACAAACCACTTCAGAAAATCTTGTCAAGAAAACTGCGAAGACTTTTTGTGTAGTTGATAGGAGTCAAGACTGACTTAAAAGGCACACTTGCACACAGGTGCATAAACACACAAATATGTATGCATATATTTGTGTTGTATATGTGTACACACGTGCGCACGCGCGCGCGCACACACACACACAGAGGAAATGAAAAGAAAAACAGTTTTAGAAATCCCCGTTTAAAAAGGAGCCCACATTTTCTTATTAAAACGAGTTCTTAATGTCAAAAAAAAAAAACTATTTCTTCATAGGAGACAAATTCTCATAGCCATATTCAAATTAGTATTTGTGACGTAACATTTTTGCCCTTTTGACTTAAAAGAAAAATCAAAATGACTATATTACTTTAGCTATTATAGGTCACCGAAGCACAAATAATGTAATCTATGTGAACATCAACATTCTATTTTAAAATGTATAAAAAACACACATAAAAGTGAAACTGAACAGATACTTTTACACAAAAGTTTCCCCAAAAAAGGAAAAGAAAAAGGTATCAACAGATTAAAAAGAAAAACTTGCAGTGAGTTAAGTAAATGCCATTTGTTAAGGATAAATTGTCTCTGGCTGATTTAAATATATAAGTAGTCCTGGACTTACAATCATTTGTTTAGCAACTGTTCAAGTTATAACAGCACTGAAAACACCATACAACCTTGATCTATGTCACTTTTTTTCACATGTCATGAATAGAAATGTTTTGATTTTAATATGAAGCAGGGAATTATCAAGCAGAATGTGAGCACATTTACAGCAGTTACAATCCCTCTATTATTTACAATTCTAGAAGATATTTGAAATATGGAAAAAGAGTGTAAAAGCTATAGAAATACAAAGCCAATAATGAAATCTTTCCTACAGCAATCTTGGTTGAATGTTCATTCGACTAATATATTTTCAAATTTGTTTCTCCTATCATATTAGTTCTAAGTCCTCTCTTGTTTTTTTCCTTCTAATTTTTAAACCACAAAACCCTAAGCAAATTTACAATTCAAACAGTAGAAGAAAATACCCCTTAACTCATACAGGTTGATTCCGAATCAAATGACATGGCAGCTTTAAAGCGTAACTTGGCTAGAAGGACCTCAGTTTTAAATGATTTTAAATAAATAAATAAAATAAATATTTTAATTAAAATTATTTTAATTATCTGTTGGTACACTAAAGAAACCTCCAATGTAAAACCTTTTTTTCCCTCAAGTACGAGTCATCACGCAAATGCTGCCATTATTTACTTGCCTCCTGATATCTGACACAAGAACACAAGTTACCGCATTTTTTAATGGCACACATATCCTCACCTGCCTCACTTCTTTCCTCAAGGATGCCAAAGAAAGTGAGCAAAAATCTGTGGTGGGGCATCTATCCGTCTACCAAAAACTCAAGTTAGTTTAATAGAGCTTTAAAGTTACAATCTACAAAACCATAATACATATGAAGTATTGGATTTTTGTGTTTTTACTAACTTTTATGTTTATTTTGTTTTTTCTCTCTTTGTTCTGTGATAAAATGCCAGAAGTAATTTTTCTTGACTTAGAAATACAGGCTGCTAAGTAAGTAAGTAAATAAGTAAATAAATACATAAAAGGCAAGAATCATTTACCAAAATCTACCCTTGTTAGTATGCACTGCATTGGATGGTCAGTTGTATGCCTTGTCGTCGTTGCACCACTTTCATAACAAGATGCACACAGATCGTAATCGTAGCAAATTAAACACTTGTATCTGCGACCTCGGAAATTTCCTTTTAAACATGCATCGCAGCTGACACCTGCAAAAAAATAAACAAAATCATTAGCTATTATCTACTTACATAAGCAACAGACATCTATGCAATTTCACTGCAATACCACTGTCCTGAATTACTATCAATTATCTTATTCTTAGTTGAAAATTAATGTTCATGATTTCATAATTATCCTGAACATGCTGCTCACCTGATAACAATCCACTAAAATGCTGACTATTCACATTCTCAGGTAGCAGTCTCCAACATGAGGACTTCCAGATCAATTTTGAGAACCATAACAATACTTACAAAGAGTACTGACCACCAAGGCCGGCTTACAAGTTTATTTCAAAAGAAGATGGCATTGTTTGTAGCCCATTTAAATGGGGGTATAACCTGTGAGACAACTGTAAAATAGAGAGGTGGACTGAGAGACAAGAAGGGATAGAAAAAGACAGTGCAAGCTTGCCTGCTGCCCAGAATAAAAAAACACCTCCTTATTCATAGACTGCAACAAAACAGGAACTGTCAAATCTTTAATTTAATTTAATTTTACCCTAATTCTCACTCTCTCCATCTCCTCCCTCCCGCAAACACTATGAGACTGAGGGAGATGTACAAGGCCGTGGAAATCAGCAGGTTTATCAGAGAAACTAAGGCCAACAGTTGTACACCGGAACAAAAGCATTGATCTGTGTCCACACAGGAGAAGCAAGATGGCTGCATGTCTTGCTGCCTATAGATCAGTGGTTCTCAACCTGTGGGTCGGGACCCCATTTGGGGTCGAATGACCATTTCACGGGGGTCGCCAAACCATGCTGTCCACCATTTTTTCCCTTTTCCCTAGTTGTCCTACTCCCTCTTATTGGTAGCCACACCCACTTGGCCACACCCTGGGGGTCACCACAACACGGGGAACTGTATTATGGGGTCAGGGCATTAGAAAGGTTGAGAACCACTGCTATAGATGTACTGTTAGAGCCAAGCACAGGACTGAAGCCCCCTCTTTCCACTTGCTTGATCCCCACATCACTGGTGTAGCTCCCCTTACCAGCAGCTGCTGTCCAGAAAACTACAGGTGTTTACGTCAATATATAAAGCTTTCAAAGTTGCAGACTTCAAACTAATTAACCAGTCTTTATGAAAGGCTTGTGATGATCTGAGTTTCAGATCCTTGTCCTAAAGTCCAAAGATTTTATACACTACCAAAGAAAAATAAAAGCATTTCTACACAAACCAAACACATATCGTTCTTGTAATACATTTCATTCTGAGCAGGGCATGCTGACATAATACTCTTGTTTAATAAATGTAACTTAACTATATCTACTTAAGTTAAAAAGGAAAAGAAAAGAACAGAGTCTGAGATTACTACTAACTCTTGGTATGAAAGGAATCTGTACTAGTTGGTTCTAGTTATATACAGACTAAAGTTTTCACTGGCTTGTCCATTAAAAGCTTATTGTTTAAAGTTGTCTAAAAAAGCATTGATAAAATATCTCAAGCACAGATTAAGAGCATATCAGATCTGAAGCAGATAATGTATGACATTAAAATCATACCATGTACAAAAATCTTCATATTAGCTTTGCAAATATGTCAAATTAAAAATAAATTCCAAAACGTTATTGAATTTCAAAATCTTCCAAATCCTATTTTCTACTAAAAAAAGAATCTGAAAACATTTTCATTGTTCAAAAACAGCTGAACTGAAATATTTTACCAGAAGGGAAAGCAAAAAGTGGATTTGCAATTTGATATATATATATATATATATATATATATATATATATATATATATATATATATATATATATATACATACATACATACATACATACATACATACATACATACATACATATATGCTTATATATTTCTTCCAATGTGAATTTACTGGGTTCAACAATACTCATTCTAAAGCATTTAACTGCTCCATTTAGTACTGCAATCTTAGTATGCTTAAAAGAGAATCATGGAATTATAAGAACTGGAAGGGACCATTTAAAAACCAGACTAGTCCCCCCCCTCCCCTATTCAATGTAAAAAATACAAAATTTTTGTTTGTATGTCCAGCCTCTTCTTGAAAATATCCCACTACCTCTGTGAATAAAACAAAAACTAGAGAACCATAAACTTGATCTTCTATGTGACGTCCTTCCAGGTGTTTGAATAGGATTATCTGTTTCCCATTCCGTTTTCTTTTCTCAAGTGAGACAATTCCTTCAATCTTTCTTTTACAACTTACTGACTAATCCTTTGATCATCATCACTGTCTTTCTCTGAACATGTTCAAATTTATCTGAATCCTTCTTGAATAGTGCCCAGAACAGGACCCATGACCCAACCAAAGCAGAATAAAGTGGAACAACTGCAAGCTGTGATTTGCAAATTACATCTGTTGATGCAGTCTGAAATTATATTTGCCTTTTGCAGCCACACTACACTTCTGGCTAATATTCTATTTCTAGTTAACTACTATTGACTAAAAGATCTCTTTTAGAAGTATCTTTGTCATCTTACACTCCATAAATTTGATTTTTGTTTCCTAGGTAAAGGGGCGTTTTCTTACCTGAACGCCTTTTCTCAGCATGATGATGGAGAATCCACCAATGGTCAATCCTAGTCTCGATTTAGTCTATCCGGGAAGAAGGCGAAGCTAATCCATTGGTGAAATTGATTCCTCGTATGCCGTAGCTTCCTCTTGGGAAAGGTAGGATTGACCATTGGTGGATTCTCCACTCGTCATGCTGGAGAACTTCATGTTTGTCCTTATTAAAATTACAGTTATTTTCAGGCCATTTATCTGATCTGCTAAAATTAGCTGTTCCATTGATCAATCATTTTCAATGTCAGGAAATTCCACCTTATTTCCAGGTTGAATCACCCTCTGAGAAGCCACTGCCCTCGGGTGTTACGGAGAATAAATTGATGCCCTCATCTCTGTGACAAACCTTCAAATATTGGAAGACTCCTATCATGTCTCCCCTGAGCTTTCAAAATTTCATTAATATCTCCAGGTACTTCAAGCAATGGTAAAACTATTGTAAAATTAAGAAGTTAATAGCAGCTACTCAAGAAAGTCATTGTGTTTACAAATACAATTTCAGAAGAAGATCAAGAAAACAAACAGCTATGCACTGATTTGCAAACAGTACCAGCTTTCCAACCAAAATTCTGCACTGGATTAAAATTTCAAATTTGGTCATCAATTATGCTACCACAGTATCATTTATCATGGTCTCTCTTAAGAGAGTAAGGAACTCAAATATTAATACCTTTATATAGCTGCCCATCACATATACACATATCATCACACACATCACATCTGACTCTGAATGGCAAACAATTAAAAACAGAATAAAAACAATAACCAAATTTGTATAAGCACAAATAATATGAAATAATAGATACCACAAAAATCTAATTAACTATCTGACATTAGGTAGGCGGCTGTCAATATACTGTGCAGAAAAATTATTAATATAATTTTCAATACTAATTCAATACATTTTTAATTTAAATAAGGCACGGTAGGATAGGTTTGTATTTAAATGTTTCCAATGTTTCCAATATAATTTTCTATATTAAGTGGCATTATTTAGCTAACACTGAGATTTCTATTTTTTATTGCATATTTCAGAATGTTCATGTAGTTAAGCCAAATAAACAACACAGAATACAATGTTTTATACAATGCATTTAAAATAAAATGCTAGCAAAATTAAAAATCTTCTCTAGACAATTATCTAGAGTTGCAATACATAAAAAATTGTATGTAATGCAAAAAGCAAAAAAAAAACAGTTTAAAGTCTTCAGTTCAGAATTTTCTGGAACCAACTTCAGCAGAACCATATCTGTACTTTCAAAACTGTACTTATATTGTTAATGATAACTGCTATCTTTAATACACTATAATTATTAAGTATGATCAAACTTTGAATCCATCTGCAATATTAATTACAGAGACAGGCTCATCAATAGGGCTTTGTATAAATCATCGGGTCAATTGAAAGGGAAAACAACTATTTGAAGGTGCTAAGTAAAACTAGCATTTCCAAGTTTCAGCATACAAGTGGGTTCTACAATATTAACACTCATTTCAACCAGGTGTTCCATCTAAAAAAATGCTATAGAATTACTCTACAAAATCAATGCTTCTTATGATTTTAATATTTAAGATGGAAGCTTAAAATAATTTACTCACAATACTGATCAAATTACATGTGTCCTAATTTTAATCAAAACCAGCAATGCAGATGTTTAGTTTCTCTCTATGATGTGGATGTCATCAGCAAAGATTGGTTGAGACAATATTGTAATCAGGACTGAGAACCAGCAAATATAAAATAGCCTTAATATTTTTTATTTGTTAGATATTTTTATGTCCTGAAAATGTAATGTCAAAGACTTTGTGCAGCTTGTGCAGACACTTGTTTTTGAAGTAGTTTTGTATTCCTCTTTTCCTTCTTAGGAGTGAGTAGGTATAATATCATTGCTTCAACACTTGACAGAAAATGAGAGGATTGGCACTGCTAATGTTTTGAGAGAACAGCCAAGTGATAGAAAGCTGAGAAAAAGAACAGAATCAGGTGATCTCAAATTGTGGATGAGGATCATCAGTGATAAAATATCAAAGAAGACTCCATTCCTGTGGCAAGGTCAAGCCAGAGGAGACTGCTGCTACTTGATCAAAGCTTTTGCAATTGAATAAAAAGGCAAAGAGACAGAAGACAGACTAGAACAGCAGCCCAATCCAAGGGGATTCATTCTTTCATACTGGTTTAATAAAATATGAAGATTCCATAAATTTTAGCTTCTGCAAAGGTTAATAAGGTATGCCTATCTGTAAGAAATAATTTATTACCTCAGAACCTTTTTTCCCCTCCAACTTATGTACCTCCAACACAGCTAACATACATTAGTCAATGTTTATAAAAAACTGCAGTCCATTTGCTTTCTCCTAATCTAGGTTATTCATCCATCACAGCAGCAGAAGAGATACTGAAAAGGAATGTGGATTCTTCCTATTAAATTTGACT